TGTACTGGATAGTCCCAAACAGGCCAGACTCAATTATCTATCAGACAGTAATTGACGTGGTGATCACAAATATACTATATAATCCTTCATAGTTCGTGGTCCGATTGACCAAATAACTTCTATTAATTATTTAATCTTTATGTAAGGTATTGGCTGAAGCGAAAAAGTTAGTGTCACCAACGGGATTCGAACCCACGAACTTCGGCTAAATACGCCGCTGCTCTACCACTTGAGCTTCATTTCAGCCAATACATTACATAAAGATTAATTAATTGAAAGAAGTTACTTGGTCAATCGGACCACGAAATATAACGGATTTAATAAGTAAATCTTCATTAATGCTCACCGCGGCCATTTCGTTTGTCGCCGAGAATCAAATTGATTACACGACATTTGAAAAATGGCAAAGAGGAGGGAAAATTCGAAAGGTAGGTTGAGATGGGAAGTTGGTGTCCGAGTGGATCGAAGTCACGATAGTTCAAGTGGTTAGAACAGCGGCGTATTGAGCCGAAGGTTGTGGGTTCGAATCCCGTTTGTGACATTAATTTTTTTCATTTCAGCCAATACCTTACATAAAAATACTATATAATCATGGTCAAAAACCCTTAATTTAATTTTTAAGACCAAAAAACATCATTTTCCATACATTTTTGTTAATAGCCCAGTAAGTGGTAACTTTTGTCAAAAAAGTAACAAAGTAAAAGTTATGAAAAATTATAAATTTCCTTTAAAATGAGCCCTTACCAGTGATTTTTCGCTTTAGGAGTGAGTATCAACGGATAAGAACGAAAAAGCGGATACACGATAGAACAGATTAGGAACTTTTTTCTAGATAGTACAAAGTAAAGTGTTTTTTACTGATTATTGAGTATTAATGGCTGACTACATAAGCTCAAATCTGCACATGTATGTACATATAAACACACGTGTATAGAGTTGAACCTTATGAGCCAATTCCAGCTTTTGTTGTTGTTATTTACAAGAAAATTACCGGCACACGTCGAGAATCACCCACCTCGGGTGTTGGCAAGGTCAGACCTCGGTCTTATCCTTCCATGAGCTGAGGTTCTGCTCCAGGCCAACATAGTCATAGCAGCCCTCAACGAATCACACTCTCACTCACATGTTAAATACATTCTTTCTTATTGACATGCCATTCACTCAATTAGGGCGATAATCGATATTCCATCACAGTTTACACTATTTATGTAACGGACCTAATTGATGGTGGATGGGGTACTCAACAAAACTATCAGTACTATATACAGAGAAAACCTGTTTCCACCCAGAATCGAAACATAGCGTCCAGGGGCGGTCAACAGGTCATATCAGCTCCAGCATTTTCTAAACTTAAGAACAACCTCACTCTTAGTCATTCTTAAATATATTCTTTCCCATTTATATACCATTCTTTCAAGTACTCCAAATCCTGCATCACCTTTTACATAAACTCGATTAGGTACTTGTTATTATACCATCATCCCTGCCACACTAAACATTCACGCTAATAAATACATTCAATCTCAATATGTACAAAAAGAAACAGAATGAGATATATACACAGCTTTACAAAAAAGGTTGCGCTATAAACAATAAAATAGACCTGTTTCTTCCAGCATTCAGAACGGAGGAACCAGATAATCGCTGCCGTGCTCAAACCATGATTTGCACCTTTCAATTGTGTGAACACATCGACCAACCTTTCTCTACTTGGAGGGCACAATCGCGGCCCAAAGTAAGTGACCGTGTGTCAACCTCACTTGGCCTATCCTTAATCGAGTTAGGATGACCATTCTTCCACGAGTCAGGTCCTCCGAGGGTCACCCATCAACAGTACTCTTTACATGCGAGAGCTTCTCTGCCATTAGGACCCCCGACGGTGCTACTTTCTAATCATGTTTTTGAATTAATTTTTAGCCTCAGTAGGTACGAAGGTTAGGACTCCAGGCTTAGCCGCCTCCTCCTGTTCGTTACCCTCCAGACCGGTGTCCGGGTATTCAGTATTTCTTTTTTATCATGATTTTATTGTAGGTTAGCACTTTGTTTTACAATTAAGGCTTTAGAAGAGTATCCATCATTTTATAAAATAAGTTGTTTATGACTGTTTATCTTAGCCGCAAAGTTTAATGAAGTATCCGTTAAAAGAAATGTATTTTTCAACATTTTTATACAATAATTTGTTTCATAAAAGTTAATAAGTTCCGAGAAATTTACAAAAACGTAGAAACAAACAGGTTTTTTGGCCGTACAAATTAAGAGAAATTTTTTTACGAGAAGAATTTTTGCCCTGGTTTTTGTGGCATCAATTACTGAAAGATCACAAAGCCTGCCCTGGAAATTTGGGACCACCCTGTGCAGGAAGTAAAAAGCAAGAAGGCAATAGTATAAATAATACTGTAAGATTTTTACATTTGATGAAACTTGAAACTATTTTGAAGTTTAACATCAGCAATTTTTATAACATAAGTACTTTTATGTTGTATGGATGTGCAAATTTTTACTTAAATGGACCAAAATTATGTATCTATGTTGTTATAAGAAATATCAGGTCACAAAATTATAATTTTGTACTAAAAAATAAAGGATAAGGCCAATTTGAAGAAAAGAAAAACACTCAATTTTTCACCAAGAATCGTCAATTATTTTTAACTATTCAGAAAATTATCAAATAAAGGTATCAACTTACAAAACTTAAACTTATAGTTTAAGCCATTGTAATGAAGTTGCAAGTTGCTACTTGGAACGAAATCTACAACACGTCCATTCATTATCGGAATCGTGTTTACATGAAAGGCTTTGTGAAGGAAAAATCAAAATTGTTTTATTACAAATCGGTTCTTGACTGTTGGTTGGATACAAGTTGATTACAATAAGTAGAACTTGGTAGTTTTAAAGTTATGATGATAATAGATTTAAAGTCAACTTCTTCGAAAATTTTATGAAGGAACTGATTGTTTCTTTTATTTCAACTTGGCCTTATCCCTGATTTTTTAATACAAAATTAAGAAGCTATGCATGTAAAATACATTGGTGATAACGAAATTTATAAAATGGAACAAAACATGAATAATTTTGTCTTTCACACTGACAGCCCAGTTTAATTAAATTGATAAATTGATTTTACTTTTATTATATAATATATCCATTCAATTGATTCTTATGATATTAATGGTTCTGCTTAAATATTGTTTATTTTCTTATTTCTTAAAAAGCAATTCTATTGTATATAAAAAAAAGTATAAAAATTTATGTACTTTGAATCAGTCTGACACGTGAAAAGTATACAGAATCATAGAAAAATATATTCAAAAAACTGCAAGTAATCAAAATGATCGTAATTAAATGAACGAAATACAAATGCATACATCCTAGAGAATGGAAATTAAATTAATTTTAAAATAAATCGATTTCAAATAAAAAAATTGCAAAATAGAAGTAAAAGTATATAAAAATTTATAACGTGAGTAAAAATTCAAATACATAATGCAGTAGTTTACCTTATAAAAAGTGGGTTTTTAATGTGTTGTTGTGCCAGTTAAAAAAAAATTTTAAATGTTTCTCTTTAGATTCTTTTGTTAAAAACATTCAATACTTACCTTTCCTAATACTGTCGATACATATTTTCTAAATAAAATTCTTATTAAATGCTATTTAAATTAAACGGCTTGATTGTTTTAAATGTAAAAAAAATAAACGAAGTATTACATTCACATTGTTGATGTCAAATCTAAATGAAACTAAAATCCATCTACGATTTCGAAAATAAGAAAAAGAATAATCATCGCATATTATTTTTGTCAAATGTCCTTGTTAAAAAAATATATATTTTTAAATCTTGCAATATTACAAAGTACAGAAAGAATTTGCTTAAGTGCATGAAATAATAATAATAATTAAAATTTGTAACCAGGATGCAATCAGTCAGCATAAGATTGAATTAAAAAAATTATAAAACTAGGTATGAATAAATACATAAAAAACAGTATAAACAATCTAAAATGATATTGTATAGTCAGAAAAATCTACTTGAAGGTTTTTAAGCTGATAACATGCAAATGGAATGTGAGTGATGAAAAATGGGAGAAAAAACGAAAAAAAAATATACAAAAATCAAGGTTCCAATATAAACTACGTAAAGGGACTTTGTCCAAAGTGGATAATTTTTAAACATGTGAATGAAATTCATCCCTTGACTTTCTTCTGTTAAATACAGTAAAACGTAAAAAATTCTAAAGAAATAAACAATGTAAAAAAATTAAATTTGAAAAAAAAATTGAAAAAATACTACAATGATGGTAATAAACAGGTTCTATTGTGAATTTAATTCATTGAACTGGTAGTGCATAATAACAATTTTAAAAATTATGGTAACAATAGCACGGGAAATACCATACAATTTTAATTAGATAGCAATTGATCGTTTTCAAGACTGGCGAAAAAAAGAGGGGACTTAGGGTGTTTTATTATCTGAAAAATCAAGACACTTGCTAGCTTCGCCATTGCGCTTAAGCATTAATATTATTTTTAGATATAAAAAGGCCAAAAATATGAGACAAAAGTGCTATTGTTCAGCAAGCAAAAATATCTAAAAACTAATAATTTATCCGGCGTTTTGAGAATGAAAACCTAGGATAAAGTAAATCAAAAAGTGCAGGGGAAATAAAAATCCGTTTTTAGTGTGAAAAAATAAATAATAGAATAATGTATTTTCTAAACAAAAAATAAAGTATTCGATTAAAATGTATTGAACCACTTGTTGCATCTTTTTCGGCAATTGTTGCGGCTTAATTTTCTAAATGACATGTTCTCCTTGAAAAAGTTTAAATTTTATGTTATTGCCTAATTAGAAGACTTAATCGTAAGATTTTTTTTCCTGTTGAGGATTAACAAAAAGCTGCTAATGGAATTTTGATTAAGAGAACTCCAAAAAACACGATCTTCACCGGTTTTTGGACCGTGATTCAATTTATTTTGTCGGAAAAAGTAACTATTGACCCCACCTGTCCACCTTCTCCCTCGACGCTCTGCAGTTCCTTCCATTCTTCGATCGTCTGGGCCAAATCGACCTGGCAAAGCGGGACTTTGACTTCCCCGATCTGATCGTGCTTGCTGAATCTGTCGAAATCGAAAATGGCAAATACGAGAGTCTTGTTCATAGCATCGGCATATGGTACACTCTGAAACGAAAATGGAATTGGCCCGGGTCGTAAGATCACAATCAAACGCGCGGATAGATTACCTTGAACGTGAACGTTTCGTTAAAAACTGGGCTGAGCGTTTTTCGATGGACTTTGGTCTCGAATTTCTTCTTTTTGTCAGGCAGCAGATAAACTTTTACGTAAGGATCGGAAGTGCCGCCCATGTCCAAAGCGGGTAAATCTTCAGCTTGAATGACCGTCACTGAGAGGCTGTTGTTGTTGAAATCGTATTCCAGCTAAACAGAAACGATATTCTATAATGGAAACGTCACGAAAGCCGACAAAACGAACCTTGTACTGCAGTTTTCCGAGTTTCTGTTCACTTTGCTTGCTCTCTCCTTCTTCCGCAATTTCCTCCGCGTTCTCCGTTAGCTCTTCCATATCCGGCTGAACCTAGTTACATGTATTAATGTAATCGACTTATGTTAGTTAACCGTTCCTCTTTTAAACCCAAATGCTTGCCTTTTCTTTGTAGGCGGAGCCGAGGAGTTGGACCGACTTCAGGTCCACTATCCCTTTGCCCTTCTTCCCATCTTTTGATCTCCTCTTTCTGAAACATCGCCTGATACAGCAGAAGCATATCAGCAATATCAACACCCCAATGCCTGAAAAAAATTAAAATTATATAGGAAAAGATTCAACTAGAAAAGAAATTCCTCATCAGATACTCCCATACCAACCGACATATATGACAAATAAAATCTTTAAAAAAATTATTAACAATATCATTATAATAAATGTACTGATTTTACAGACAACTATCAACTCCGTATATAATTCTTAGATTTTGGAACCCACCGACTAAAATAGAGATGATGACCCATCCTTCCAGCCCTGTCTCTTTCTTCAATTCCTCGACGACAATTTGCAGTTCGTTAGGACCTTTAGTTGTTGGCAATTCGGTCGAAAGGCCCTCATCCGATGTCGAACCTATAAAGCACAGTTATCAGTATGTTTTTTGCTTATATAGGCAAATAATGAATAGGCGTTTTCGACTGACTTGCTTCTGGCAGGAAGGTTGTCACCACCTCTTTTGTCTTGGCTGCCATTTCGAGCGGTGCCGGTTGCGCGGATGCTTCAGGAACGGGTGCCATCGTCCCAACTTCCTTCGCCACCTCCCTCACAAAACGGTTCACAGAAGGCGGCATTATTCTGAAACAAATCGATTTATTGAAAAGTCATGTTTGTTGTTCTTGTTTTTTTCCATAGAACAATTTATAGTAAAACAAATCAATTAGAAACAATGTACAGCGAGTAGGTACTTAAAGAAATCAAAAGGTTGCTAGTTGACATGATTTTAAAAAGTTAAAATAATAAGTAAAGCATAAACTATAAAGGGACTTTTGCTTCGTTGTTACAAGTTTTTTGTGAGCCGTTTTATCCTCTCTATATGAAACCTTCCAATATCTTTCCATCACTTAAGGCTTATTCGATTTAACCTATTTTTCATTCTGAAAGCAGTTAAAAAGCATCAAAGTTACAATCCTTTGTATTTTTTGGCACTTGGTGGTTTGTTACTCTATTTTCAAAACTTTCAAGCTCCTTAAAGTTTACCACTACACGATTCGTTTCCTCTCTGCAGAATAGAGCTCATATCCTAAGGCAATATCGAAGAAGAGAAGCGGTAAGAATGAAGAAACAAGCAGCACCAATAACCCCTGGTATTTTTTCGTATTTGGTGTTTGTTACTCTATTTTCAAAACTTTCAAGCTCTTTAAAGGTTAGCACTACACGATTCGTTTATGCCATAAGGCAACAACGAAAAAGAGAAGAGGTAAGAATGAAGAAACAAACAGCATCAAAGCTATAACCCCTGGTATTTTTTCGTATTTGGTGGTTTGTTACTCTATTTTCAAAACTTTCAAGCTTAAGGCTTAACTTTAAAGGTTAAGGGAAAAGATATTAAAATCTTTTCTGACAGTCAGGATAGTCTTAGGGCATTACAAAAAGATTTGTCAACCTCACGACTGGTGGAGGAAACTATAGGTCTTATCATGGAAGGTTCTAATACTGCGTTTGTCGGGCCACAACCGGTATTACCTCACTCTATGAGCACAGCGAAAGAGAGTATCAATAACTGGGGCATGAAACAATTCCTTAGGGAGTGGAATTTATNTATATATATATATATAAAGGTTAGCACTACACGATTCGTTTCCTCTCTGCAGAATAGAGATCATACCAAAAGGTATCGAAGAAGAGAAGAGGTAATAATGAGGATACAAGCAGCATCAAAGCTATAACCCTTTGTATTTTGTGGTATTTGGTGGTTTGTTACTCTATTTTCAAAACTTTCAACCTCTTTAAAGTTTACACGATTCGTTTCCTCTCTGCAGAATAGAGATTATGCCATAAGGCAACATCAAAGAAGAGAAGAGGTAAGAATAAGAAAACAAACAGCATCACAGCACTGGAACAAATATCAATCGATGATCATTCTGAATTTTAAGACCAAAATGTAACAACCTCTATTGCGAACCAACATATGCAGGAATAAAAGCAAACGAAGGATGTCTTGGCAAAACAAGGAGCCGCCACATGCCTATCAAGAGTCGAACATAATATGAAAATGTAAGAACATTCAGGACAAATCGTAAGGCTTTATATTTTAACAGATTTCTTGACGGGAAATATGGGCAATACAATGGGCAACTGAGAAAGGTTAGCACCAAGGAACATAATAATTAAGACCTACAACACAATATGCTTAAAAATGCAGGATTAAGCAAATGACTCATAATCTTAACAGGTTTCTTGATGGGACTCAATGTCTTTCTGAGAAAGGTCAACACCCTATCTTTTGATGACCATAAGCAGTCAGATTTTAATACGTCAAGAAAATTAAAATTGTTTTGGGAACTACAGCATAGTTAGCAGGAACTACAGCATTAACAATTGCTAAACAGTGGACTTCAAATTTTAAGAGATTTCTTGATAGAACACCATATGCCTGTAAGAAAGATCGGTAGAAAAACAAAGAAAACCACAATACATCTGCAGTCAGAAATTGGTACTACATGAAAAGGGAAAGTGTTTTGTGACTGAAAACAACAATACAACAACAACTATTGAACAAAAATACAACCCAAATTATCTTATAAAATGTAATATCTTATTAAATCAGAAGAACCGTATTGCGTAGTATTGGTCTTTCCCAGATGTCAGTCTGCAGTGTCCCATCTAAAAACTTATGCTTAACCTCTTGAGTTTTTGCTTGTTCTTGGTTTCTCTGATGCAGGTTTTTTGCGGGTCTTATAACACATTCTCTTCTGGTAACACCAGTCCCAAATAATATCTATTGTGAATGTACTTTACTTGGTTCTGACCTTTCTTACACGCCCATAGGTTGATGAGCGTTATTTGAAGTCTTATACCTCGTGCCTTCAATTTTAATGCTTGTTATGTTAACGGTCCCAAAACACTTTCACTTTTCTTAAACACTTGATTATTTATTCATAGTATATTGATTGTTTTTTTAAGGTTGTGATGTCAGTCCCAAAACACATTCCCTTTTCGTGCAGCATCAAAATAAAAAAGCATATTTGTCTAGTTCACTAGTTTTCGTGGTCCGCTTGACCAATTAATATCTTACAATTAATTAAGGTTTTTAGTTGAGATAAAAAAATCAGTGTCACGAGCGGGATTCGAAACCATGATCTTCGGCACAAGAGGTCACGTTAGCTCAAGGGTAGAGCATCGGCGTATCTAGCCGAAGATCGTGGGTTCGAATCCCGCTCGTGACACTGACTTTTTTATCTCAACTAAAAACCTTAATTAATTGAAAGATATTTGTCAAGGTTTCCTCTGCTTCTTTTCAAAATAAACACACACCCGCCGTGCAGCTTGGTGATGTCCTTGTTCAGTCGCCCATTGAGTCCTGTCAAGAAACCAGTTAAAATTTCAAGTTTCTTGACATATGGATTTGAAATAGTCTTCAGATCTCAAAACACTTTCCCTTTCCTGAGCACCACAGATTATGAGCATATCTATTGGGATTTACTTTCCTTGGTGCTGGCTGACTTTTCTCAGTTGTCAATTTGTGTCCTATCAGGAAATTGACTTGTTAAGTTGAAGGACCTAGAAAACTTTCTCTTCTTGTAACAACAGCTTGAAAGCATATTTCTAGATCACAAAACACTGTCTCTTTCTGTTGAGTGTAAAAACAAGTCGGTTGATGGTTTCCGTTGCTTGGTGCTCATCTATTTTAGGTGCCCTTTGAAATTACAATTTTTAATGCTTTTTATGCTAACGGTCCCAAAACACCTTCTCTTACAACACTTATTGTTGTAGCATGACGTCTAGCATGTCTGTTGAGGTTGATTTTGTTTGGCGATGACCTTTCTCAAATGCTCATTACGTTTGTTGTTCCCTGTCAACAAACCTGTCAAGAAATGAAGTCGCCTGCTTGATCCAGCATTTTTAATGCGTGTTTGGTTGTATCCCAAAATACTTAAATTTTTTTACAGGACTACAGATGGAAATGTCGGAAGAAATCTATCTTGGATATCCTGTGCATTTTTTAAAGGATCAACACGTCACGTGTGCTTATCTTTCCCAGAGGGCCATTAATTCTGCGGTACCCAGTCAAGAAAACCGACAAGACTTGAAGTCATGTTCTGCTTTGTTCTGCGTTGTTGATGCATGTTGTGATTAGGGTATCGATGCACTTTCTTTCCCAGATGTAGCCATTTTCTATTATTAGCAAATAATCGGTTCACGTACAAATTTATCGCTGGTGTTCTATAAGAACAAAACGGAGGATACAATAGTTTTTACAGGGTTTAACATCCTGAAATCTCATTCAATCAATCAACTCAAAATGACGTTTAGTTAAAAATTTAAACTAGATACTAAAAACACTCTTGGAGCAAAACAATAATCAAATATTGAATTATGAATAATGCAAACCATTCGATTACAATATGTTACAGCAAGTCAAGTATAAAACGAATGTTCTATTTTTCCGACTGTCATCAAAGCAAAGTATTTTTGACATGAAACATAATTTGCTTGTAATTGTTGTTCAGGTATGTTGAGATTCTGTCAAGCTTTCATGCATTCCATGTCACGACCATCATTAGGCCAATCTCAATTAAATTAATCACACTGTTATTAAGTTCGAGTTTGAAACCGCTTATAAATGATCTTAGATTATGAATAGGAGTTGTGCGAGAGGTCAAAAGGTTGTATGCGATTTAGATTATGTTTGGGGATAGATTATCGCACCGTCGAATCGAACAGTTGTTAAGTTTATAAATAATAAATCTGACCTTTTTTTAAGTCTCTGGAAGGAAAAACGTCGACATCTCTTTTATTGAAAGGTAATCGTGAAATCCCGTTATACTTACATAGGACACGACCCACTTGTCCTAGCTGCTGCAGAAGGGTTACGCCCAATCAGAAGGTCTGCCCGACCTAGGAAACTGAGCTTTTCTCTGGGCAGACGCACCCGATTTGACGTCACTGACACGGTCACCAAGGGAACATCCGTGGGCGTCTTTTATCGATAAAAACGAAATTTAATCCCATCGTGTCGTGTTGATCCGAGTAGTGGAATGTCTACGTTTACATCGTGGTACGACGTCCGGAAAAGTCATCAGGCCGGAAAACTAACCCGAGCACGAAAATTCTAACAATTGACCCGCTGTCGATACTAAAAGTCGATTCGATTTAATTCCACCAATCTCGTCGTTTCGTTTATATTATAAAACTTAAAACTTGGTTTGACAACCCATATAGTATTCATGTGTGCTAGGTACATATAGAAAGTAATGCAAGCAATATCTTTCAGAAGGGCTTTACTTACACCCGACCTCGGATGGCGTGAAATTGGATTCAGATCACTTCACAACATTCCCTCAAACTTATTAAAGAAAATCCCAAGGTTAATCATTACAAGAGTCGCGTACGTGGCATGAGATGTCCGGACCTGACGACCTCAACCAAAGGCGGTACATGAATTACCATAGAAATAAGATTTTTCCTACTTTTGCATGAAAGTTTAATTGAATGATCTCTCGACATAAATAATTCCATAAAGATAGCATATGAGTATTGACTTTTGATCGTGTGATAGGTCACACAGCTTAAAGTAGATTGAACTTGCAAAAATGGGTTTGACATTGAAATTAATTTGTATAGGGTTATAAAATAAACTCAAATCAGTTTTCTCCTTTTCTGTTGTTGAAGATCGATTGACTACCTTTCCGATCCGTTCCTTTCAATAGAAAACCTATTATGTACATGTACCGTGATCGATTTCCTGTCGGCCTACGGGATAAAATTGTAAATTGGAGGAGGTAAGAGACCCCGAAGTTTTCATCAAGTAGAATAGATTTGTTCAAGAGCATCTCATCCTCAGCCCTCATCCTTCTTTCGTCCTTTCCATAAGCATTTATACGAAAATCTGTTACAAACACTTTTTAAAATGATTTTTCTATATTAAAATTTAAAAATTTAAAGAAAATCGTCTCAGTTTACTAAACCATGTCCTAAACTCTTAAGAGTTCATCATAGACAAATCAAGACCAAATCAGTAAATTACAATTTGAAATTGAATAGGAACCAGTGCAGCCTTGCAGTGCATCTAAGTTCAAATACTGTAGGTATAGGAATCGTCGGGTATATCTGTGTTTTATTTCTTTCGAAAAGGCTTTCGAGTACAATATAGGAAAATGGTAGAAATTCTTAAATACACCCAAATGGATGATAAAGATTTCCACCTTATCGCGTACCTTTACTGGATCAAAAAGCAAACGTTAAGATAGAAGGGTGGACATAGGTTGACATCCTTGTCAGGAGAGGTGTGAGACTGGGGTACATCTTGTTGCTTCTACTATTTAACAAATGCTCCGAAACATATTGGGGGAAGCCCTTGTGTGGAACGATACCGTTTTAATTACAGACAGCCAAGAAGAACTACAAAGCCTACAAGACAAGGTGTAATGAAGATGGTTTAAAACAAAATGCTGCGTCTGTGTTTTTTTAGTTGTTTAATAATTTGCCGTGAGGAGCGGTCAAGACCTCAAGAATTCTACAAGTTACTAGATGCTGCAAAGACTAATTTAATGGATATTAACAAGACACCAATCATGGAATCAAGATTAGAAATAGGAATTAAGACCTCAGATATGGTCCAAGAGACAATAAACCTAGGCTGTTAGTTGAACGTCATGTTAGACCACAGTAAAGAAATAAAATCACGGAGAGAAAAAACATTTAATTTACTAAAAAGAGCAATGTGCAGTGAGATTAAGGATAAGATTAATGAAATCCTACGTCTTCTTAACTCTGTTATACGGTGACGAAGCTTGAACCTTAAAAGAAACCTCTATGCAAAAGCTTGAGCCATTCGAGATGAGGACAGAAGGGTGCTAAAAAATAAGCTGAACAAAAATCATCACTAGCGTGGTGGTGCTCAAAAGGGTAGAAAAAAACAACAAAAAAATAACTTGAGTATGTCAGACATTTTCTATGTCACCCGGGTAAAAATGAACTGCTTGAGATTGTTCTAAAAAGGAAAAATCGAAAGGAGACGAGGTCCTAGTAGGAGAAGAAGTTCATAACTGAAAAACCTGACCGAGTGCGCATTGCGATCGTGATGACCAACGTTAACGGATAACGTACAAGAAGAAAGAGAAAAGCGAACATTTTCAATTTCCTTGTCTTCTGCAGGATAAATCTATGCAGTATTTATTAGCTTTTACAAAGTAAAATAATTCCTGTAATATAAGAGGGGTTACGTCCAATTACCCGTTGGGTCAAACCACATTACAATGTTTTTTCCATATAATTCACTGCTACAAATTTCATGAGTTATGCCGAGTTTCGAACCCAGGACCGCTATATTGGCAAATACTAGTCGGATGCCCTAACCACTCGGCCCTTCTTAGCTTTTAATTTATTTTTAATAGAAAGATCTCGCATCTGTTTCCATATGGTGGAAAACTAATGGTTGAACAACTGAGACACAACGGAAAAATGGAAAAACCCTGATTTTTTCATTTTTATAATCGTGTTCTTTCTTTTTTTTAGATTTTCTATCAAAAAAACACACATAAATTTAACTTATAGCAAAGTATTTTCAATTAGAAAAAATGTATATATTGAAAACGATTAAAAATATGATTTTAATTTTCTACCGTTTTTTAAAGCATAATTTTAACACAAGTCATTAACTCGAAAGGCTTATGGGCTCTTAGCATTAAACACGGTTGCGACATGACCTCACCCAATCATAAATATGTTTTATGGAAAACTGCGCAAGCCAGTTCCGTTACGTACATCCATTAAACGAAAATGTTAATTTTATATTATTTTTTATGTTCTGACAATAAGATAAAATCGATCATTGCTTAAAAACGCCTCGTATTTGTCTATTTTTGACGACCCGTCCGGTTAAAATTAAGCATGAATCTGTCGTACTTACATATGGCCCTTCTTCTTCGAATGAATACTTAATAATAAAAATATTTAACTTATTGCAATGACAAATCTTTAATGTTTGAATAAAAGTTTAATTTGCTTTTTTTAAATATCGTTTCATTGATGAAACTTTGTCCAAAATTAGCGTAACTTTATTGTTTTTTGCGCCATGTCAAGTTCACCAAGAGCAAAATCTTTTGCAAATAGCATTAGAAATCTTTTTAGGACTGTCATGAAACTTAGCAGCCAGGTCGTAAAATAATATAATTGATTGTAAGGCAGGCAGTTTTATTAACAAATGATCTCTGATACGATTACTGATCAGCCTTCATCATTATAATTTTTTTTTTTTAAGAGATCAGAGATAAGCCAATTAGAAAGAAAACAGGAAGTAGTTTTCAAGCTTCTATGAATAACATTAATCGGGACTGTAAAACTTATACATTTTTAATCATTAAATTATATTTTTTAGTCCTGATGGAATAATATATTTGTAGAAAGCTCGATGAACGTAGTGAGTGTTTTCTTTTTAATCGTCCTCAATCCTGATCGTTTAATATATTTTTGATTCATTTCATTCCTGATTTTTTAATATATTACGATTAAGATATTGAAACTCCCTCATAAAAGTAATTTGAAACTAAGTCAAAAGAGTTTACTTGAGGGACCAAGTCAATTTTACAGAACCTTATAAAATTTTGTGCGCGCGCAAGCCCACCATTGACTTTTCACAGTTCATTCATATCATAAGAGTGGATTCACTTTTAGATCAAACTTTAATCCTTGAAAAAGTAAATTCGGCTAGGTTTGAACTTTTGCCCTCGTTTGCCCTCTGCCGATTTCAGCGGTTATAAACACGATTTTTTCGAAACTCTTTGCCGCTTGATGTAAATATTTTGTATCAAAGGGGAAATTGTATGCTGTTCTATTGTTCACAAGAGAGAAAAGTAACAAACTAGTTTTTCAATAAACATAATAATTTTTATAACGGTTTCATCGCACAATGATATTAAATGTTAGGTAATAAAATTATGTGGGCACAAAGGAAGCAATAAAGTATTGGACCGTTTTCTCTTGGCGTACTCCGGGTGAGCAGAGGTCAGCTGAATACAAAAGGTTTTCATAATTGGGCGAAGCTTCTCTAAGGTTAACTTGGTTCCGCCGGGTTTCGCTCTCTCACCTGAATAGAACGGAGGATCAGAATCGGTGTCTGTCCATAAAGTCGGCTCGTGGAGGCGAAGGTCTCGAGACTGACGAGAGCTCCGCCAATATGGCGATGAGCGGGGTCGATATGCTGGTCGGCGAACGCGCAAGTGCATTCCCACCGATCCCTAATATCGCGCGATTCGATCCTCGGGCCACGATAAATTGCGTGTTTGGCACGGTTTTATTTCCCTTCCACGCCCCCCTCGAACTTAACACTTTATATCTAGTTTTAATTCCCCTGGGACGAAGGAAGAAGGACGTCCAGGAGGGACGAAAGAAACACAGTAACGTCGGATATTCCAATGAACATGAACAGCCATAATGTTTTACTGTTTCGGCTAATTGCGTTTTACAAGGGAACATGACAAATATAATCAGACATAACATAAAATAATCGCTTTCAACTTACGGCTAAAACGAAATCAAAGAGAAAAATAGTAAAGAATACTTGAAATCATTGATAATATTACATTGAATTATCAAGCCTTCCTATTAATTTAGAAATCGTGAGATGCGATCTGGTGTGATGTAGGTTTCCGAAAAACATTTTCTTTATCGTGCCAACGTTTCGATCTTTATTGAGATCATCTTCAGGGCCTGGGATTTACAAACATTGTTTAAATATAACAATTACATTTTGTATGTGGAAAAGTGAATTTATACAATGCAAAATATATTTTTTTATATTCAATCAAAGTATTTCTACTCACTCAAAGTGTTTGTCTTCTGTGTAATTGTGCCATTCTTGCGTTTCGTGACGAGATGGCCAGTAAGATTTTGCTATTTTGTGTTAATATACGTTGGATTTTGAACGGGTGGGGAAGGATGTCGGTATAGAAAAGACATTTTTGTATAAGGCGTTTCTTT